ATCTCACCTAAGAAAGCTGTCATGAATTGGTTTGATAATATGTATGAAAGAGATCTGGGAGTTTTAGTAGACTACAGTGTAGTAGACCACACTGAGACAAAGTGTGATGCAGCAGCTAAAAAAGTCAATATGACCTTAAGCTGCATCAATAGGAGTATAGTGTCTACATTGAGAGAGGTAATGGTACCACTCTATTCTGTTTTAGTCGGACCCCATCTGGAATACTGTGTCCAGTTCTGAGCACCACAAATCAGGAAGGATGTGAACAAGCTGAAGTGTGTCCAGAGGAGGGTGACCAAAATGGGGAGAGATCTGCAAACCACCAAGCCCTATGAGGAGCGGCTTAGGAAGCTGGTTATGTTTAGCCTGTATAAGAGAAGGGTGACCCAATAGCCACATTTAAATATTTGGAAGGATGTCACAATGAAGAAGGAGAAAGCTTGTTTTTGCTCCTCCAGAGACTAGGGCATGGAGCAATGAATTCAAGCTACAGGAAAAGAGATTCCACCTAAGTGTTAGGAAGGGTGTGATGAAGTCTCTTTCTGTGGAGGTTTTTAAGTAGAGGTTGGACAGCCATCTGTTGGAAGTGCTTTAATTGTGTGTTCCTGCATGGCACAGGGTTGGACTGGATTGCCCTTGGGCTCTCTTCCTGTTCGATGATTCTATGAATTATAAGCCACTGATTTCAACAAAGACTCCTGAACACAAAGCACATCTATTATTATAGAAAAGATTTCATACTGGCACTTCCAACATGATTGGGACTACCACTGCAGCTCTGTCAGTACCCATCCATTTCCCAGAGATGTGAAAAACAAAGCAGCCAACTTTGAATGATATATTTGAGTGTATTGAACCCCAGGGCTTCACTTCAGTGCTGTCTGTATTCCATGCCTGTTGTTATGCATAGCAAAGGACACCTGTGTTTCCTTGTGTTTTTTCCTTTACATCCCCAAGTCTACTTATTCACTGGCTGGACAAGAAATGTTTGCTCACACCATTTTAACCAGTGGCAGGCATTATTCTTCCCTTTTCTGCTGCCAGGATCCATGAAGGCTGGACAGTTATGATAGTTAAAGGGTCCACTGGATCAAAATTCAGATCGGGTATCTCAACCACCCTACATGCTGCTCTTCTATTTTGGGGGAAACCAGCAGAGAGAATGGATGAAAGTTCACAGAAGTGAATCTACACACGACTTGGAAACATTGGCATTAGCAATAATGTGTGAATATTAATTTGTGAAAGAAAGAAAAAAGTAAAATCAATTTTAAAATCTGTTAAAATGTTAACTTTTTAAACAATCTTGGAAAGTGACTACAAAAGGCTAGAATTCAGAGATATAATAGCTGTGTTAGTCTGGAATATCAGTCTGCAAAGGGACCTTGCAACACCTTTGAGTGTTAGTCTTGAATGTGAAGCAACACACCTTTGCATAAAAATGGCTAGTAATGCATCAAAGTAATAATATCAACATTTCATGATTAAAATCAGAAATTTTAAAATTGTTGTTGAACTTTCTTTGTGAACAAGGTGTAACAAACTGATTCTTAACAAATTATTTTCAGATTCTGAATGGAAGTCATAAAGTTTTGTTGGGGATGGGAAAACAAACACTGAGAGTCAGTCCTCAATGGATGAATTTTGTATCTTTTCCTCCTTCCCAAACATGATGCTTTGGTTTTGGGAGTTTTCTACTATCCCTGTCTTTGGAATGTCCCAAGTGAGCTGGGGACAGAATGAGGAAACTCAAGTAGCATCATCGTTCTTACCTTTCCAGCATCCCATGAAGAGCTTTTGCTTTGGTTCAAAATTCTCCAGACTCTTTAGGATGCTTAGTCTATCCCAGTAAATTGGTCTTTCCTTACTTCTCTGTTGTCACCATTTGTTGTAGTGCAATAGTCTTTCCTGAGGCTGCAATGTGTCACATGTTGTAAGCCACTTGGGAAGGTTTTGCACACTTGAAAAGAAGCATAAGTCAAATGAGAGAAAAAAGTTTGCTGTCTGGGTTTACATGGATCAATTTGAAGGACTGGTAGAAATAGAGTTCTATTCCTGCTTTACTGGTAACCACTCCAGCTGGTTGTTATCCAACTTCAGCACATATCAGTATGGCATACCCACCAACATTTCACAGTTGAAAACTGGGGCATTTTTGGCCAAGCAACATCAGAGTGTGATCAAGATGGTAAAAGTTCTTAATAAGGGAAAACACACAGGCTAGGAGAAGCTGCAGCAGTTTGCTTTTACCTGGGCCTACTGGGAAGGGCAAGATCCCAGTCACTCTTCTCTTCTCTTCTCCCCATTGCTGAGTTAACTAAGTAACAACTACTTTTGCACTTTGCATTTCACAGCAATGAAAATTAGTTGAGAACAAAATGGGACAGTGGAAGAAAGAGATAGAAACTGGGACATTTTAAAAGCAGTGTGGTACAATGGTTTGAGTGTTGGACTGAGAGACCAGGCTTCAATTCCCCAGTTGGCCTTGGGCAAGTCACATGCTCTCAGCCTCAGGGGAAGGCAATGACAAACCTCCTCTGAATCAATCTTGCCAAGAAAGCTGCATGATAGGTTTGCCCTAGGGTTGCCATAAGTTGGAAACAACGAAGGCACATAACAACACCAACAGCAGCAACAATAACTGTGGAGCATCAATAGATTGACCAGGATGGTTCCTGCCCAACCTGAACAGTTGCAGAGCATGGTACAAAAGAGTTGCTACCCAAATCTCCCTTGCTTCCCCATTCCTGTTTTCCCTCCTCATTTTTGTGTCACATAAATAGCACATGCACTAGCCCTTTGGTTCCTCATTCTATCACACAATAGTACAAAATATTGGGAAGAGGCAAAAGTCTACCAAGTTTCAAGCAGCCAAGAGTATGTGTGTTTGGTCCCACAACTTGCTGCCCAAAAAGTATTCTGCTCTCCCGCCCCAGCAATGCCACAAATAGCAGCAGGACTGGAGGAATGCTTCACCCCAGCCATCTGGTGCCGTCTCAGTTTCTGAATCATTATGGTATTATAGCTGAGAACAGATTGCACCCAGAGATTCAGCTCAACAATTTCAAATTGCAAAATTCGCCTAAATGGCCCTTTTAGGGGGCAATTCAGTGCCTGCAATTTGACAAATGAAAGAATGTAATACATACAAATAAGAATGGTTTATTTGGGATGTCTCAGACTGAGGCGGGTATAATCCTATGCAACCAGGTCATCTCTGTCTTCCTAATATCAGTCAGAAATTTCATTTCAGATAGCAAAACAGTAGCCTTTTGATTTCAGCCCTTTCATATTTTCCTGCATATTGACTGTGTATTATTAATTAGACATCTACCAGCATTTATAACTGGATTTTGAACCTGTTTCATATTAAAACACTTCATTTGTTTTTAGTGTTTTAAACTGTTAAATTGTTGTAAATTGATTTTATCTGTATACTATCCTGAGATCTTGTGATATAAGGCAAGACAGAAATGTATTATTTTATTTTATTTTATTTTTATGCTGTCTTTCTTCCAACTTGGATCCAAGGTGGTTCATAAAAATACTTTAAAGGGGTTTTAAAAAAACCCTTCCCAATAGGTTTTATTCCTCCCTTTGGTTTCCATTAAGAAATGGACCACATTCCAGAGTAGCTCTGTTTGAATGTCTTTTTTGAAAGATAATGATGATAATGGTGGTGGTGTTGATGGTATTTATTTATCCTGCCTTTCTCCCAAAATTAAGACTGAAAGCTCAAAAATTTCTCCCAGAATTAGGATTCAAGATGACCCTGGGTACCCTCCAACTCCAAATTCTCCCCCATTTTCCTCTGACCAGCCCTTGCAAATGCTAGCAATGCCTTGGAGAGTTCAGTGACCAATAAATAGAGATGGTTTCCTGGGTAGTCTGAATATAGATCATATTACAAAAGCTATCCTCCCTCACCCACCCGTCCTTGAACTGGCAAGATCTCTATAGCTGTAATCCTAAACATGCTTTCTAGGAATCAGCCCCCCCCTTTTTTTTTTTTTTTGCCAGAGTTCATTTTGATTTAACTTCTCAGTCATCATGACTTGCAATTTCACAAAAGAGAAGCTGACCCTTTCTGAAAATTTGAAAGAGCTTCTCTCCTTGCTTGGTAAAATAAAGGGAAACTAAGCATGATCATTTACTCCGCCGTGTGGCAAGATTATTTCAGTAAATCTATAGCCTTAGCATGTAATGCATGGGATTGGAAACAGAGGTTACATAAACCCACCAAGTCTCCGCAGCTACCTCAAAATTGGCCGGGTGTTTAGGAACTCCGCCAAGACCATTTGGCAGACGGAGCTTGACAGTTCCAGGAAAAATAAGGAATATTCGGAGAATACTTTGAGGAGGCCTCCCGGTGACTTTTGTCACAACAACCCATCCGTGTCCACTTAAAACAGAGCCCTTGGAAAGTTTATTTAAATGCATGTTATTTATAAAGAACTCAACAACTTTTGCCCTTTTAATGTAAGGGTGCTGAGAATCTCTCAGTTCAAAACTATTTTAACACATAACGGTGGAACTAGGGAAAGGGCACCATGTTATGCATGCAAAAGGGCTCCTTTATCTTAGCTGGAATGAATAATGGCTGGTGACTCCTGTCCTAATTGTAGAAGGAGAGAGGAATAGGATTTAGTATCTTAAATAACTCCATCACAGTTCAGACCAGAACCTGGACTGGATTCATTTGTTCCCACTGGCATAGAAGCCATCAATAGCTAGAATCCAGAGAACTACATGACTGGCTCTTTATGCCCAATAGAGCAACAACTGCACATGTGCTTCTTGAAGAATAGTCCCTCTTTGCTTTGATAAATTGTTGTTGTTGTTGTTGTGTGCCTTCAAGTCATTTCTGACCTATGGTGACCCTACGGTAAACCTATCATGGGGTTTTCTTAGCAAGTTTCTTCAGAGGGGTTTGCCATTGCCATACCCTGAGGCTGGGAGAGTGTGACATGTACATGGTCACCAAGTGGGTTTACTGTACATGATTGAGCTGGGATTTGAACCCTGGTCTCCAGAATCCTAGTCCAGTGCTCAAACCGCCATAGCACACATAATACTGAAAAGCAATCTCCCTTTGAAACTTGGGAGACAGGGCTACAATCAAAAGCCATTTGGCACATCTGTATGAAAACATTTACACCCACAGTCAAAATTCCCACAATTTGCATGCAAACCTTTGCAATTCCTCTATTTTGTTTTGCTCTGCCTTTAAGAATAGAAAAGAAATATGCATTAACTGAATGTTTAACAAATATTACCAATTTGTGAGCTGCAAGACTCTTGGGAAACATGTGCATGGATCATTTGGTTTTCCATCATTGGAAGTGAGTGTGAGGAGTGGGCACCTTTGTTTTTTCTTTACAAATCATGCATATATGTGACAAAACTCACAATATCTATCTTTGAAAAATGTAGAGAAATATGCATGTATTAGTCAATGGAGAAATTGCATTAAAAAGTGGCCCCATTAGCAAACCAGCATGGTATAGTGGTTTAAGAATTGGGGCAAGACTCTGGAACAGGGTTTGAATCCCATGGAAACCCACCCTGAACAAGTCAAATTCTTTTAGCTTCAGAGAAAGGAAAAGGCAATCTTACCCTGAACAAACTTTGGCAAGAAACTCTTAGGGTCTTCATAAATCAGAAACAACAATTATGTTATGCTTGAGGTTTCTTGGCCTGAGTGTGCCATTTGTACAAAACTGAAAATGTAATGACTTAATCATCAGATTTCTAAGAGGGAAAAAAATTAGCTTTGGAGGCAAAATTGGCTTATTTGGAGTTCAGGGACCATGGAGGAAATTCAGATAAAGGGAATTTCAGAATCATTCCAGTATTAGAGCTTTTCTTCAGTGCTCAAGATATTTCACAAATATATTTCTGGCACTCAGCATGCAGAGTTATGGAAGCTGTGGCCCTCCAGATCTGGACTCCAACCTCCATCAATCCACCAAGGCTAATGGTTAGGAATGAAAAGAGTTGTATTTCCAGCTCTATAAATCTATTATTTATAGCTGGGTTGCATTTTTCACTGGGGATGTAGATATCGTGATCATAACAAATTTAATATGGAAAGTAACACAAGGTACCTGGTGTACATATGCAGATGCAGATAAAAACTTAAGAAATAGAGAAGAAAGAAGAACCAGGTTTCAAGAGCTTTGGATCCCACAGATTCATAGATGTTTGTGTGCCACAAGAAAATTTTTGCAGGCTTACAAAATTTCTCTCATGTACTTGAAATGAATGAAGAAACTCACCTCAAACTCCAGACCATCCTGTTAATAAAATAATTTTAAAAATGTGGTTAGAGATCTTGAAAGAGAATGGAATATTCTTCTGTCTGGTTCTACTTTAAGTCTAAAAACAAATGAAACACTTGCTGTTTGTCCAGGAGCAAGTCCCACTTTGTCAATAACAACACACACCCAGGAGATTTTGGAAGAAAAAGGCCACAAATGTTTATTGATTGAAGCCACCGATGGGTTGGCAAATGCATGGGACTGGATCCTGGCATCAACCAATCTGCCTTGGCTGATGAAATGACCCATTGGTTGTAGCCAGAAATGAAAGTAAGGCAGGAAGGATACACCTGGGCTGGGGTGCCAACCCCTACACAATTCCCCTTCCTCTTTGCGTATGTGCCAGAAATGCCTCCATCCACACCTGGACATCACCATTTCCATCACACCCACCCCAAGTCCCATAAGGAGACCCTTGAAAATTGCCAGGGCATCTGAAAAAATGTCCCAGATCCTAGTCCTATGCCAACAACCCTTGAAGTTGTGACAAAGGCATAGAAATGTACAACAGTAATAAATAAGCAATATGAAGGAACAACATTCATGTCAACACTAAAGGACTGAGGATGGGAGGGAGGGCTGGGACTTGCAAAAGCAACTGAATTAAAAGGGTGAAGGCAGTGAGAATAAATACCCCACTGCTTGACCTGAGTGAAGACTGCCAACTCACACTGATCAGGTCCAGATAGCCAATGGATTCAAATAGCACTTTGAAGCTTGTTGGTCAATATACCCTCTATCTTGGTAGCCTCCTAGGAAGGGAATGCCAGGGCAGCAGCCATGACAAGGCTTCCATGGCATCATAGTTGGCCTGGACTGCAAATCGGCTGTGGGGTAATTCTTGCAGCCCTATTATCTGGCAATATTTATATTGAATTCAGTCAATTAACTGGGCACTACTCCATTAAGAACATCCCAGCCTCTAGATCCCTTGTCTCTTCCATTGGCCTCACAGAAAACTCTGCTGCAGGCCGACATTAAGATCCCAGCCAGAAAGCTGCATATAATTCTGCTATGAGATATGGGAGATATCAACATGTGTGTGTCACCTAAACTCAACTGTGCAATAGATAACACAAACTGTATTATTAAAATCCTTTAAATAGATACATTTGTATTGCATAAAGGGAAATGGGATTAGCCACTTTGGAACAGGTTTGGAAAGGGATGTTAAAGGCCAATGGATTATTGTATAAAATATGCACAATACTGATTAATCTAAAGATAAAATCTAGCAGGGATCAGAGTGAAATAAATCTCCTTTGAAAAATAGTCTTATTTATGTAAAACAGAAAAAGATGTTCTTTTGTTTAAAGAGAGATTTTAAAATGTAAAAAACAAAGCCCAAACCCAAACCCTTGCAGCAAGACAGCCAGATTAAATAAAATGTACATTTCTCTTACTAATTACTGGAGAGGCAATGTAAATAATGCTTTTTTAAAAAAAGAAATAGCATCAATGCATTAAGGTCTGGCCTATGGGGAAAGTCAGAGACACCATTTAGTTGATTAATGGGTGCAGGCTGCCTAGCTACCAAGAATAATTATAAGTAGCAATGACTTTTTGGGGGGAGAGAAATCCAATGAAAGGGCAGAGAATTATAACCCCCACTGAAGTAACACTAGAGCTCTCCAGTCTGAAAACTGACTCTGTTAGCTTATTGTAGAAATACATATTTTCTCCCAATCACTTAGGAGCCAACTATGGCAAGGTAGAACATCTCAAGACCAAAGGGAATATGTCAGTCCCCTTTCTTGGTTTGCTCTGGCATGAATTAGGACCTCAATCAACCTCTCTAAGTGGAAGGTCTACCCAGACCCTTGGCAAACTTCTCCTTGGAAACTCCAGTTTCCCCTCTCCTTCTTTTGTGAAGGGAAAGTGAAATATGAAAAGGGAAGTTCTGGTGTCTATTAGACCACATAAGCCATTTATTGAAAAATGTGTGTGCTCTCCAATGCCACAGATATTACTCCTGTCAGAGTAATGGAGAGACTAACATTTAATCCAACCAAACCTGTTTCAATTAAACTCTCTACTTTTGTGAGAGTCGACACACATTCAAACATACACACTGATATAAAACAGCTTTGGGAAAATCCCATTGAAGTCAATGAAATTTCAAAAGGGACTTAAATCCAAACACACTGAGAGAAATTATTATGTTTGCAATAATAAGTTTTTGGTTGAGACCATTTTATATAAAAGACATTACTATAGCATAACCTCAATTCTCTCTCAGCATTCTTCTGTGTTTTATCACTTCTGACAGAAATGTATTTCCCTTAATTTTTATTTGTGTACTTTGAACTGTCTTGAGACCCAGTGTGGTGTAGTGGTGTGAATGTTGGATTACAGCTCTGGAGTCCAGGTTGACCATGAAACCCAACTGGGTGACCTTGAGCAAGTCACATGTTCTCAGCCTCAGTGGAGGGCAATGGCAAACCTTCTCTGAACAATTTTTCCCCAAGAAAACCACATGACAGTTTCACCTTATGGGTCTGTGTAAATCAGAAACAACCTCAGGGAACACAATGACAAACAAATTGTCTTAAGGGGATCCAAGAAACTTCTTGAAGGACGTCAACTGACTGGAGTTGACTTTGTGTTTGGTCATTTAATTTACTTTCATTTAATTGGAGAAAAGGATATCTTGCAAGAGTTTAGCTATGGGGGGGGTGAGGGCATTTATCCCCCTAAAAAAGAATGCTGCACCTGAATGAAATGTTCCTAAGGTCTCCAAATTTCTAACCTTGCAGTAAAGTTGAGCATTTAGAAATGCAATTTAGGCATCCAAAGAAAAGGAGCAGGCAAAGTTACCAAGGGAATGCAAACGACATATATTAGAGATCTAGGTGTGAAAGATTTTCAAATACACTTGTCACTCCACATTTGCTGGGGTTAGAGGCACAGTACTTCTATGAATGTGGAAAAACTGCAAACAACAAAAACATTGTTTTTACCTGAGAGAACCCCCTTCTAGGAATCTCTAGGTTCTCCAGTGCAACTCTGTGGTCAACATCTGCCAGACATTGACCATAGAATTGGTCTACAAATGCCTAGTGGAGTGTTCTCTCTAGGAATCTCTGGGTCCTTCAGTGTGATTTCTGATTAAGGTTGATGATAGAGTTGTGCTGGAGGACCTAGAGATTCTTAGAGAGAACATATTAATACAATACATGAACAATCAAATCCGCAAAAGTCAACCTGCAAATGTGGGGGGATAAGTGTATCTCACTATTTGAAGTGCTAGAAATCTGAAGACTGAAGGAACATTTGGAGGAGCAGAATCCTTATGTGACGAATGCTCTTATTTTGTCCCCCTATAGGTATACCCCTGGGACTGGCAGAAATCAAAGAAGAAGAAGGGTGTCTGTCTTAAGAAATCAATATAGAATGAAACAGACCTCCTCCACCACCCCCCACATATGTATCAAATGGATTAACTAAGTGAAGTATGTAAAGGATTGACTGATAGATAAGCAAGAGACAAACAGCTATTATACAATCTAAAACAACATCTTCCCCCAGCCAAGGTCAATTTTTAAAAAGCTGGAGGACTTGAGAGAGAAAGGGGCAAAACTTACTAAAGGGAGAGTGAAGGAAGGAAGAAAGCTGGCCACTTATGTACCATGGGAAGAATAGAGTATATACCCCAAGTTATACGTTTAGTATCATGTGAATAAAGGAACTAAGCCTGTAGACAGGGGCCCTTTTACACTACACAATTGTAGTGCTATGATTCCACTTTAACTGC